TTTTTTATCAACATCTTTAATATTTTAATTCGACAATCCTTTCTCTTAATCACCCAAAACCATTAATTGGACATCCCAAATTGTAACCAGCGTAATGTTATGCACCTTGCGGCAGAATATTACCCCAAATGTTAGTACTTTTCCTACGGGGCTGAGCCCAAGTAGCAGCCCACAAGTGAATGGTTTGGGGCTTTGTGGTAAATAGGGCCCAACAAAAGTTCTTACCTGGCCTGATCGGGTGAATTTTGACTATTGTCCTGGAGTGGATCAGGATGAGTCTGCATCACATGGCTATTATTCCGCATGGTAATTGTGAGCTGTACCGATGTTTTGCCCTTAGGAAACGAGAACTATCAAGGAAAATAAAGATTTTTGTTTTTTGACAAAAAGAAAAAAACAAAAGATGCTTGAGGGAACCGGACCTCCAAATGAATGCAAATGGGATCCTTCTAGTAGAACGAAGAAAATTTCATAGGTAACATCAAATTAAAAAATTTATGACCAAGAAGAAAAAAACTCATGAAATTAGTTGGAAAAAATGAGGTTTGAGATTGCATATCTTCTCTTTTATGCCTTTTCAGGGTCAATACAGGCAATGGGGTCTGCAATAATTGTCTTTCTTCTTCCCTTGCGGAATAGAATTCTACTTGCTAAGTGAGAATACAAGAAAATAGTAGATAGAGAAACAAAAAAGACCAATAAAGGAAAGAAGCAAGCACCTTCGCAGCTTCGATTTTTTCCAGGGAAAAAAAAAATTAGAGCCAAACATGTGCATCCCTCTATTGATATTATTGATATTTAAATAAAATTTAATTTAAAATTAATTATTAAAAAATACAAATAAAAAAAAGAAAAATATTCCCTGTTCATAAAAAACACCGAATCTCTCTATTACCGATTCTCTTTGGAATTTGGATAGCATGGTAGACTTTTCCTCCAATGTACCCATAAAAAAAAATGCATAGAAGACCTTTTAGCATATGGAATATATCTTGAGGACACATGAAATTTATTTTAGTGATATTTGAAGTTTTCAATTTTTTTTTATTGCCATTGCATTCGATTTAATTTAAATATTACATTTGTTAATGTTTATAATGCACCATATAAATAGGTAATTGAGAAATATTTTCACACATTTATTTACAGTGAAGAATGTAATGTTCCCTTATTTTAAGAAATAGTGTAGTGTAGTGTATTGTGCTAAAGTGGGCAATTATGGTATTAATAAATTTTTCAATACTCATTTTGTTTGTTTTTAATAAATTTAATTTAATTTTTAATTTTTTATATATAAATTTTAAATAAAAATTTAATTGTTTATATGAGTAAAAATTGAGAAATTTTTTTCTACATGAAGTTTTTATTAAATATATTGGCCCACTACTGGAAAACGTGACATATTCGACAGAGGTACCTGTCGAATATGAATTATTTTCTGTCGATTAAAATATAATCGACAGACATATTCGACAACTTTTTTTGTCGAATATACTGCAGTTGATAATCAGTATATTCGACAACCAATTTCTCTGTCGATTAAACAAGTTTAATCGACAGAATTTAACTGTCGAATATGCTTGTTATCAACAGAATTTGGGAACCAGATTTATAATTTTGTGCACTTATCTTCGACAGCCAA